AACAAGTTATGGACAGTGTGCTGAAAGAAATTCGTTGTACCGCGGCCCTTGTCGATGGTGAACTAATCATGAGCACAGATTACGCTGATTTAGAGAAGAACGTGCATATGATTCTCTGACGCATAGTAGATTATAGTTTTGGGTTACATGCTGAAAAATGTGATTTACACATGAAGCAAGTCTGATATTTAAGATTCGCAGTTGACAAAGACGGAAGAAAACCTGATCTAGAAAACGTTGAGTCCATCAAGGCCATGCCTCCACCGGCAGATGTATCAAGTTGAAGTTCCTCCTCGGAAGTGATCCGTCATTATATTGATACAAGTCCTCTCGATTATATTCACTGCAAAATGTTCCACAAGATGCTGTTTAGCAAGTAGTTCACTCCAATAACGGACCATAAACAGCCACTGACATTGTTTTGGATTCAAGAAAAGTATTGTGGTGGACCAAAAAGTATAATAACCAAAAATCAGTGGTAAAGTTATTACGTCCAATATTAATGTAACAATAATAATTTATAAATTAACAACACAAATTAAAAGTTCAGGGACGTTACTTAAATCAGCTAGTGGTTGCGTATTCTGTTGAGTTTTGGTCCCATAATTCCACAATTATAAATGCGTAATAATTCCACAGAGGTAAATATGACGCCAATAAGTTTCTTTGACGTAGGATATAATGGAAATGGCACAGCAGTCTAAAATGAGGATAATATCCAGTTTAGAACGCAATTGACTCGGTAACGAGCGAGAATAGAACAATGGGTATGTGCGTAGTGGTGTATTTGCGAACAACCGAAAGTATGTCACGCTATGTTAGAATTGCAACGGAAAAAGTCTTCAAGGTCATTTACTTAAACAACAGGTACAATCATTTAATGATAAATGTACATGCGGTGAGAAATTGACAAAATAAATACAAATAATATTAAAAACTATTTACAAGATAAGCTTGTTAGAGTTATCTCCACATAGCTCCCCCCAGAGTGTCCGGAGGTAACACTGGTTATAATAACAAAAAAAGTAAGAATATGATATATATGTATATAAAAAAAAAATTTTTAACATTAAAAACCAAAAAAATGGGGAAGTGGGTTATATTATCATTTTTGGGAAAAAAACCGGTTTTTTTTGGGGAAAAAAAATAATAACAGTGATGTCACAGAATAACAAACACAAAAAAAATGAATATACTGTCATTTAATGTCTTGTTTAGCTAACAATGATAATGTGTAAAACTGTTAATGACCCACACACGCACAAACAAAATTGAACTGTTTATTTTTGTGTATAATGAATAAATAATTAAAAAGAGTTTACCCGTTTATTATTGTAACAAAATTTTTTTTTGAAAAAAAAATGTGACAAAACGAAAAATTGTGGAAAAATGTGATTAATTATGTACACTGTTAAAAAAAAAATTTTTAGATGGGATTGATAGTGTAGGTCCTCGATAATTGTTTGCTTTGATTGTTTTAGTCTTTTTTTATATGGCAAAATGTACGTAACGCTTTGGTTTTTTTATAAGTCTCCCAGAACGTGTTAAACAAGAGGGTGTAGTGCTAAGTTTTTCCTCTTCCTCTTGTTTCTTAGCAATTGATGGGAGTGATTGTTTGTTCGCAGTATTGTCTTCTGTGTCTTGAGGGACTTCGTAGAAAGCTGGTTTTATTCGGTCTATAGAAATTGTCTCATGGTTCCCATTTTTGTTGATAATGAAATATTTGTCAGTGCGTTTTATTACTTTATAAGGGCCTTCATATGGTGGTGTCAGTGGCTTTTTACCGCGTCTACTCGAACAAAAACAAATTTGCACGTTTCTAAATGTTTATCAAGATGGACTCGGTTGTCGTATTCTCGAGGTGGTATTGCTCTGATGCTCTGCATCATTTGTAGTAATCTGCTTACAAAGCGAGAAGGGTCTCCTGGTGTTGTGGGTTCATTCTTGACCAGTTGTCCTGGTAACGTTAATGTCGTGCCATAGACTAGTTCAGCGGCCGTGCATCCGATGTCTTCCTTTACAGACGAGCGAATCCCAAGGAGAACGAGCGGTAAAGCATCGCTCCATTTTGAAGGGTCCGGTTGTGCCATCAGAGAGCTTTTTAGTTGGCGATGGAATCTTTCAACCATGCCATTAGCTGCCGGATGATAAGCTGTCGTTTTAACATGATTTACTCCAAGAAGTTTAGTGAACTCGTTAAATAGGACGGATTGGAATTGGGGACCGCGATCTGTTGTGATTGTTGATGGTACGCCAAAGTTGGATATCCAGCGGTCGAGGAAAACTGAAGCCACTGTCTCTGCCGATGTGTCTTTAATGGGGCATGCTATGGCCCATCTTGTGAACCTATCTATTGCGGTGAGGATATGTGTGAAAGAGTTTGATGGTGGCAGAGGCCCAACTAAATCTAAATGCACGTGCTGGAAGCGTTTGTCAGGGATAGGGAACTTCCCAATTGGACTGTAGGTGTGTTTTTGCGTCTTACTGCGTTGGCACTGGAGACAGCTACGTGTCCAACGTTTAACATCCGAGTTGATTTTAGGCCACACAAAACGTTCGGTAATGAGCTTTGTTGTTGCTCTGATGCCTGGATGTGAAAGACCATGCAAATGCTGAAATATTTTTCGTCGGCAAGCATGTGGGACAAACGGACGATTGTTGCCTGTTGAAGTGTCGCACATGATGAATGCGTCTGAAAGGGGAATAGGTACAGGTTTGAGGTCTAAGCTAGACTTTTCTTTGCAGACTTTCAATTCTGCATCGTCTGCTTGTAATTTAGCCAAGGTTTCAAGGCTGATGTCATGATTGAGTACCATCGTATTGATATCCCTCCTAGATAGTGCATCTGCAACAATGTTCATGTGACCTTTGATAAACCTGATGTCTGTGGTAAATTGGGAGATATAATCAAGTTGTCTTGCTTCTCGTGGGAGTGTTTGTCATACGATGTGCTAAAAGAATGGCAAAGGGTTTATGATCTGTCATAATGATGAAATCACGACCCTGTAGCAAAAAGTTGAAATGTTTTACTGCTAAATACATAGCTAAGAGTTCGCGTCCAAAAGTACTATAACGTTCTTGTGCTGGCGATAATCTCTTGGAGAAAAAGGCAATGGGGGTAATCGCGTTGTTTACCCGCTGTTGTAATACTGCCCCGACGGCTTTTTGTGAAGCATCCGTGCATAGGATCAACAGTGTTGTGGGGTCAGTATTTAGGTGTTGGAGCATGGTAGCATTAGCAATCATGGATTTAGCTTTTTCAAATGCTACTTTGGCATCGGAAGGTAACTTGAATATTTGGTTCTTTTCTTTCTTGGTACCTGATTTATCGTTTTTCAGTAAATCTGTCAATGGCTGTAGTACATCGGCACAATTTGGTAGAAATCGTCGATAAAAATTACATGTTCCAAGAAAACGACGTAGTGATTTTACTGAGGTTGGTTCTGGATAGCTGGAGATGGCTTTGACTTTCTCTTCAAGCGGTTTAATTCCTTGGGAATCAATGTGGTGTCCCAGGAATTCCAGAGATGAGGCGCCAAATATACACTTCGAAGGGTTGATTACAACACCATAACTTTTGAAACGTTCAAAAAGCGTGTGTAGGTGCTGAACATGTTCGTCAATGGAAGAACTAGCGATTAAAACATCGTCGATATAGACAAATACGAAATCCAAACCTCTAGTTACTTCGTCCATAAATCTCTGGAAGGTTTGAGCGGCGTTTTTTAGTCCGAAAGGCATCCTCAAGAATTCAAACAAGCCAAAAGGTGTGATTACAGCTGTTTTCTCGATATCCTCAGGTGCCATCGGTATTTGATGGTATGCTCGGACTAGATCTAACTTTGAAAAAATCTGTTTTCCATGTAGATTTAAAGAAAAATCATGCAGGTGAGGGATCGGATACCGGTCTGGGATAGTCTGGTTATTCAATCGGCGATAATCTCCACATGGGCGCCAGTCTTGATCTTTCTTGGGAACCATATGCAGCGGCGAGGCCCAAGGACTGTTAGATTGTCTGATTATCCCAAGTTGCATCATATGTTCGAATTCTCTCTTAGCGAACTGCAACTTGTTTGGAGGGAGTCTTCTCGCCCTGGCGCGAATAGGTGGTCCTGTAGTAGTAATACTGTGTTGGACATGATGTGTGGAGCATTCGTTTTGGTAATCAGCTCTGGTTATACTTTCATACTTCGACAGGATATCGGTGAAAATTTTGTTTTCAGGTCTTAACATACGGACTCCATGAATTTCGTAACTGGAGATAGTTGTGCCACTGACCTGTAAGCTTGTGTTTTTGTCGATTAGTTTCTTTTTTGCCATATCTACAAGTAGGTTGTAAGCACCGAGAAAATCGGCCCCGATAATGGGTTGTTTGATTTCAGCTACGATGAAAACCCATGTGAAACGTCTCCGGAGACCGAGATCTAAAATAAGTGATTGTTCGCCATAAGTTTTAATGACTGTGTTATTGGCTGCGACTAGAGACAATTTAGTACTCTGAGGGTGCCGTCGTTGAGAGAGGTGTAATGGGATAATGCTGATTTCGGCTCCTGTATCGACCAAAAAATCTGAGCCCGAAATTCGATCCCTGACATGAAATAGACGGCTCGGGTAGTGGCCAGAAACAGGCGCCGCCATCACTGTCTGGCCGGGCCGTTTCCCTGATTCTCTGTGTCAGACGCAGAAAATGTGCACGGTCGTGTACAACGCCGTGCTTTGGTGCCGTATTTTTGGTGGTACCAACAAACATCAGATGTTCGCTTCGGTGACCGAGACCGTTGTCTAGAAAAAGATCTTCGTCTGGAGGGGATCTCGATTGTCTAGCTTGGATGGTTGCTATGGTTGATTGCAGAGACGCCAGCTGGCTCGTTAATTGTGTTAACTGCTTTTGAAAGGAGGCTAAACAGCTAATATCTGTTGGTCCAGGTGGTTGCAATGAGTTCACACAGTGATTGTCGTGGTATACTTCCATCATTTTATCTGCCATGTCGGCTAAGTCATCAAGTGCGACGGATTTCCCTGAAACACTGAGAATTTGTCGAACGCTGTGTGGTAATCTTTGAAACCACATTTGCTTTAGGAGGGCTTCGTCTAGCTTGTATGGACCGGCGAGTTGTTTCATGTGGCGGAGAAGTTGCGAGGGTCTTTTATCACCCAAGTCACAAGATGTTAACAATTGTTGTAGCCTTTTCTCATCTGAGACCGTGGTGCGTTGAATAACTGCTGCTTTTATCTTATCATATGGTTCAGATTCTGGCACGTGATCGATTAAATCACCAACTTCAGCGGCAATCTCAATAGGAAGTGCGCCGACTACGTATGCATACTTTGATGCCTGGGATCTTATGCCTCTAGCCATGAATAAAGCTTCAATTTGAGCAAACCAGACTCTGGGATTATTAATACAGTACGTTGGTAATCTTAACTCTGAGATAGCGTTGATCGAGTTTAAAGCATTATCCTCTGGTTGTGGAGAGTTTAGAAGGTTGGTCGGTGAACTATCAATATCAATAAGTTTACCCGGAGAGTTCATAATGACAAAAACAAAAAAATGGTGTCGTGCCAGGTAATAATAATATAAAAAAATATGTAGATATATAAGGTAAATGTCTATATAAAAAAAATCGAGGCTCACCAAATAATTGTGGTGGACCAAAAAGTATAATGACCAAAAATCAGTGATAAAGTTATTACGTCCAATATTAATGTAACAATAATAATTTATGAATTAACAACACAAAGTAAAAGTTCAGGGACGTTACTTAAATCGGCTAGTCGTTGCGTATTCTGTTGAGTTCTGGTCCCATAAATCCACAATTATAAATGCGTAATAATTCCACAGAGGTAAATATGACGCCAACAAGTTTCTTTGACGTAGGATATAATGGAAATGACACAGCAGTCTGAAATGAGGATAATATCCAGTTTAGAACGCAATTGACTCGGTAACGAGCGAGAATAGAACAATGGGTATGTGCGTAGTAGTGTATTTGCGAACCACCGAAAGTATGTCACGCTATGTTAGAATTACAACGGAAAAAGTCTTCAAGGTCATTTACTTAAACAACAGGTACAATCATTTAATAATAAATGTACATGCGGTGAGAAATTGACAAAATAAATACAAATAATATTAAAAACTATTTACAAGATAAGCTTGTTAGAGTTATCTCCACAGTATCGCTGTATATACAGCAAACCATCTACAGCGATAGGAAACTACAATGATGATCTGTGATTTTAAGATAAAATATCAAACGAAAACGAATTTTGGACAATCGGATACCCTCTCAATAATAATTGACTCCCATAAGAAACATGAAAAGGAGCTGAAGGTATCTACCACAGTATTTGAAGCTGAGGTTCATACTGTGTTGGCAGATGCAGATCCCGGATTGCTGAACACATTTAAAGCCATTAAAGAAGCTAGCAAATTGGATAACTCACTGAAGGTCATTCACCGCCGTACACACAAACACTTGAAATAATCTAGACCACAGGAAGAACGCTAACAATATTTTCGTCAACAAGATAAATTGAAAGATGACGATTTGTTAAATGAGGTGAACCAACGTAACATCATGAAAAATAAACAACTCCTAAAACAGCTTCAAAAGAAGTAAACGGCGTAGAAAGTTTCATATAGGCAGCAAGGTGTAGTATCACCATATAACAAGGCGAGTAAGAACTGGTGTAAATCGTCAAGTACAAATCTCAATGTACGTGTACATGTTGTATAGCACTAAAAAGCATTCAATTTTATAAGTAACACAAAGCACGCCATATTGAAAAATATCAATCCATTAACAAGTTATGAATAAAAATGTGACTGGGAAACATCCTATAGAAAGTCCGCGCATCAAAATCCTATAGACACCCGATTCTCTAACACACTTTACACCATAACGTTTGAACGGCTAAACCAATTTCGCTGATTCGCTTTGTGGTATTTCTCTTGCAAATACCACTTTGACAACTTACAACACATTGTAAGATGAATGAATCAATGAATGGATGATTGATTGAACGAAGGAATTAGTGAATTCATGAATGAATGAATAAATGAGTGAAATGCAAAACGTATCAATGAAATCGGTGAACCAATAAACCAATTTTACGTATGAGCAGTGAGCGGAACTCACCAAATAATCATGCTGAACCATCGTCAGTATGAATGGTGAACGTGCAGTGTGATATGAGACCTTCAGCTCTACATAGGAATATAGCTTATACAGTAAACCACACATATGTAGGGTAGTAAAGGAAATTGACCCGCCTGTAGCGATAGGGTTTGAACAACGCTTAAAACCCATTGTCTGCTGTCGTAGTACTATGAAATTTCATCCACTGCTTTGGTTTCGTCTCCTTTGTTATATTATTGTGTGACGCTTATTTTTTTATCCTTCTGTGTTTTGTTGTACGTCTTCGTGTTATTTTCTGATGGGTGCTATGTTTTCATCATATCGAGCTTCGTTTCACTTAGATTGGACTCAAAATACTCAACGCCGTTTTACTTCGCTAAACAGTTTTTTATCGTCAACAATCAGTGAACATATATTTTATTCCAACCTTGATTTCCTGTTACCCGATATTTTCATACTAACCAAATCACCTACCAATCATTTGATAGGGCGCTCATTTCAATGATCCGAGCGTAACATGTCCGTCCTGCTTCACAGAAGATTCGGACATCATATAGGCTTTAACGCTACAATCTGAATAGTACAGCTCCATCGTCTGGCGCAACGACTTAGGTAACAAGCATCCTAGCGGTTCATTTGCTTATCATAGGTTATGTCATCAACTAGTTTTACCTAAGATAAGTTCGTGATATGAAGTCTATGTAAAGGCTATGCAATACCACACTCAATCTCATCAAATAAATCAATTGAACAACCAAATGCAAATAACTTTAACCAGAGTTCATCGTTCTCTACTATTCAGGTCGAGTCGAAATAAGTCTTCCTCTGAAACAAGATTATCCCACTAACCAGTATGCTAGATGTTTTGAAGAGGCTTGATGTAACCAACTAGACACGCAAATAGTTTCTGCTTTCGTAGTTTCATTCGTCATTTCCTTAAGAAAAAATCCCAAAAAGCAGAATTCCTTCAATCACTTCTCACATTTAGACACTAGTAAGTGCATGTTGGTTGTCATTGAAAAGTGTGTTCATAGTTGTTTTTCATCATACCAAGAAGAAACAGATGTAACACATTTCCTACTTTTCACTGATCTCCATACATTGTTCAGTCAGTCAGTCTGTCAGACATTAAACCACACCGATTTTAACTGATAATAAAAGGCTGTAGTCTGGTATCTGATGTTTAATATCTCGTGGATTGTTAAATATTAATAACACTAAAAAAACATTATACACGCATCTGGTCTATCCGTGTTATGATTGACTAGTCAAGTACTGCCCATAAGTGTTTGTATGGGTAATTGATAGTTAGAGTATTCAGTAATAGTGCGAGGGGACTCGTTATATATTATTAAAAATCTGTAACCGACTGCGATGGCCCACGAAAAAAGTTATTTTAGTTCTAGTGATCAACATTTTAGTCAGGAAATGGTTCCAGACAAATTCACAATATAATTATCAACACAATTTAGGTGAAATACTGTTATCCTACTGAAGATTGGAGTTGTTCTAAGACATGTGATAACAAAACAGATTTAAAAGGTTCTCACTTTTTATTTATTTATTGCTACTTCAACCCACGAAACTCATGTTATTCATTCACACCATACTTGATAAATGATTAGAAATCATTGAATATGTGATTCGTTCTAGCATAAATATAGTCACTCCACCTATTACTTTCAAATAATAATCGTCAGCTTACTGATAACCTGCTTCAAGTTGAACTCAAGTGGAAAGTCGCGATCAATGGGGTTTGAGTACGTCTGGAGAGAGACATTAAAAAAGGACGAAAATGTGTATCTATGGATGTTAATATTAGTGATATAACTATTTAGCGCCAGCCGTGATATTGAAATGTCAGTCATTCTATGTCAGATGATTTCTTGGGTGCATATTACTAACATGTCTCACACTAGGAAAGAAAAGCTGTCTTGTAATCTTTGTTGTTCACCAGTACTTGAAATCAGCCTGTTTCATGGTGAATATTAGTACTAATGATAACAATAATCGTAACCGAATGATAGAGATGTATGTGAAGTTTGTTTATCAAATAAGGGAATAGTAAGATGTGTGGATGATTATCTTTTATCAAAGTGAACAAGGTTTAAAATCAGACTAACAGTACTAGTTACAGGAATGAGGTGAAATTATAAGCGTTCACATGAAGATAATAATAATACTGCTAAGATTACACCATTGATGAAGACCTTAGTAGACAAGTTTCACTACTACTGATTACGAAACACACAAAATCAATGCAAAAACAGCATTTATTTTCAAAGATACAAAAGGTCAGTGATGTGTTTAAGATTTTTGGATCATCATTTACCGAATGTACTACAGGTAATACGTATTAATGCGTGCAAAAACTCTACATTTGCTCTCGTTTCATTCAGTAATATTCAATAAAATCTAGGTCCCCACAAACAGTTATTTTCTGCCAACTTATTTTATGTTTAGTCCTATTATTACATTCTCATTACTGTTATCATTGGAGAACTCGTTCAATACCATATTTTAGATGACAGTAAAGTATTTTCAGTATAGAATATCCTAAGGTGTTATGAATCCTTGTTTTACGTGTATTCAGTGTGTGCAAATTTCAAGTGAATAACAGTGGTGCATACATTGAGTTTAAGGTGTGTAGTACTAGGTAAATAAGGCTAAAGTAAAATGTAAAATTAAGGCTAACTCTCGCTTTCCAGTGCGATTCCAACCCAATTGCATCACAGTTGCAATGCAGCTCTGATCACAATTTATCCATTAAGTCATTTTTTGTTTAATTAAGCTATATTTCTTTGATTCTCAACTTGTCGCTTATACGAAAGTTACTGAGTACAAACGGAAAATATTCGAGCACTGGACGGCACAAACCTTATAAGTTACTAGTCTAGATACTCTCGTAGAAATTAAGAATCCTACAACCCATAAGTTTCCGTAGCTTCTATCTGATCGCCGTTATTGTTTTGAAAATTTAGGTCATTCGAGCATATTTAGCAAAGGTGTAAAATAGTACCAGTTTCGGTTATTGCCATATGATCCACTTGAAAATAAAGTTCTAGTTTGCTACATCCGATACTACGTTTGTCAAGCTGAAGTAATTAATTTCTACGCTATACTAGCTTATCGTTTAATTCTTTTTTTTAAAAATCAGCAGTCTTCTATATTTCGTCTCATCGGCATGAGTAGACTACTTTCAGGTCATCAGCGTACAGAAAAATGTTCCCCAGATTAAATCAGCTACAAATGTTGTCGACTTATATTATGAATAATAGGTGACCTGGCATATTGTTTTGTACAACCTCACAAGTTTCACTCTTAAGTGCTGATGTCTTAGTATATCGCATAATATACTATTTTGTCGTTCCTAGCATTTTACTATATGGTG